TTTATTGCAATGAGAGGCTCAGAAGCTTAAATATTTGCAGGGTTGGTTTTTTAAGTCGGTTGCTTTTGTTTTTATAGCTAATAAATTAACCTTGAAGAATGGTAAAAATACCTGTATTAATACTTTAATAGGTGAGGCTGAAGTGTTCTCACTAAGCAGGCTAATGGGAGACATCCTAATTACAATGGTTTCCTTCTGGACTTTCCAAAATTAGAATGGTACTTATTGAAAATAACCCATCAATCCTTTGGAGTTCCACATATTCTCCAAATATTAGGGAAAATAGCATTCAGTGTCCTCTTTTTTCACGCATCAAGTACTTTCTGGAAAAGATATAGAAAATCTGGCTAATAGAATGGATACGTGTGAGGAACGTAGCAGAGCTCTTAGTTCAATTTTTACATGACAGGCTAAGAGTTATTCCTGGCTAGAGGTCATTTGTTTTGTTTCCAGAAAAGGTTTTCTAAAGTAGAAAGGAATTCTTCCAGACTGACCTCTCCTTTCCCACAGCCTTCACTACCTCTACCATCAAAAAAACAACCTCACTTCATAGATCCATTAACCTTGACTTTTTAGATTCATCTCACCTCAAATTGAGTTCACTGAGATGTTGTTTAGCTGTGTGTGTTTAATTGAACCACAGTGATATCCTTAGCTTGAGTCAGTCTTGCCCTTTATATATAAGTATCCAGACGTCCAAGTCCAAAACTCACTTCTCATCAAATTTTCAGCTATTTTCTCCAACATGATCTATTTATATATTCACTCCCCTGAAACCATCAAAAACCCTGTTGATCAGAATGCTTTAGATGTCCCCAAAACACTGGGGAGAGAAGGGGATGCAGCAGAACGGTAGTCTAACTTCCATATCTAAAGAGCTAGACAAAGACGAATACTCCAACCTTAGGATGCCATTCTATTATTAAGGCCAAATCACTGGCAGTTCATTTTTGCCTTGCCTCGTTACAGATATCCAACACCTGAAGGGTGATCCCTCATCAATAATGGCTAGAATCACCCCTGGAGGCACAGAGGCTGCAAGTTTCTCTCTCTCACCTCAACTTCATAAAAGAGGAGCTGTGAAGGTGAAAACATTTGCCCTTCTGGAAAGACTGGTTCCATAGCAGCACCAGGTACAGGGGTCTCCCAGGTGATGTACTGACTCAGTGGATCTCCTGGCTAGACTAGCCCTATCTACTGTTCAGTTTATGTCAGCTAGGTCTAGTACCCCAAAAGATCAGGGGTTGTGAGTGACTTGCATCACAGCACCTTCTACAACTAGTAGCTTATCGGATCTGTGGCATAGAGTCACAGAGAAGTAGGGCTGGAAGAGATCTCCAGAGGTCAGCTAGTCCAACCCCCACACAAGTAAATCAGGCCCACCACGAGCCAATAATTCTATGGCACTTCCTCACAGTTCTCTTAGGGTGTATCTACACGTCACCCTACAGCAATGTAGCGATACACTATGTCACTGTACAGCGTGCTATGGCGACATAGCGATTATGCAGGTCAACGTTTGATTGCCAGCTACGTCGCTGTAGTGGTGCACTCCCCCCAGCATAGTACACTGCTACAGCAATGTAGCAGTGAAGTCTAACCATGTGCCATGCGCATGGCGCAGTAACCACCTGTACTGCTCCAAGCTCTAATAATTCCAAAAGAAAATACTAAAGTGCTGTAGTGATGTTGCCATATGGCAAGGTGTAGACATGCCCTTAGTGTATTGCTTTGCTTTTCTTAAACCTGGTCATTTGGAAAGTTTAAATATTTAGAGACTAAGACCATATTCATACTTTATCTAATAATTAAATACAATTATCACAGGCTAAAATTAGCAAAGGGAGCCCAGGTTATAACATTAAGGAAGCAATCTGAAGTCTCCTATGGTTTTATTCATACTAACTCACATTTGCACTATATATTTCTACATTTTATTGACCTGTTCAAGTAAAAATTGTTCAGGCCACACAAGTAAACTTTGATTTTGGAAGTGTGAAATCTAACATACAGGATCTCTCCAATTTACTAGGGCTGTGCAAAGCTTAGGATCGCGCTTCGGATCCAGGGCCGCTTCGGACACTTCAGCATCCGAAGCAGCATGCCCAGAGTGAAGCGCGGGCTCAGTTAAGATGTCCAAAGTGGTTCGGAGCTTCCAAAGTGCTCCCGAAATGCTTTGGATGCTTCAGACGCTGAAAGTGAAAGTTAGAAGAGGGAAGGGGAGCAGGAGAGGGAGGGAGAGTGGGGGTGGGGGGGGAAGACTGACATGTGTAGGTGGCCAGTGAGAAGGATTTCTCTTTGGCTGCCTTTCCAATGACAGTGTTTGTGGGGAGGGACCTAGAAACAGCATAAAAGCCTCTGTTTGGAGGCGTGCTGTGCCTTTTGCTAGCTTGTCCCCTCTCAAGAACTGTATGAGAAAGGAACCCTCAGACTCAGGCATCTCAGCTTGCTTGCTTTACTCAGTAGTTGAACTTGCCTGCTCCTTTTTGTTGTTAGAAAGGATTGCATAGGATTTAATTTATCTTAGCTTAGCTATTCAATTACTGTTACTATTACTATTCAAGGGTGTAGGTTGTAGCCGTGTTGGTCTAAGGACATAGGCAGACAAGGTTCTTTGGGTGAATCTGATATCTTTTATTAGACCAACTTAAATAGTTGGAAAAAAAATTATTAAGCAAGCTTTCGGGTCCAAAAATCCTTCGTCGGGCTAAGGAAGTTTCAGCAGTTGGTGTGTGCTCTTCCTATTTAAGTTGGTCTAATAAAAGATATCAGATTCACCCAAAGAACCTTGTCTGCCTATGTCCTTAGACCAACACGGCTACAACCTACACCCTTGAATAGTAATAGTAACAGTAATTGAATAGCTAAGCTAAGATAAATTAAATCCTATGCAATCCTTTCTAACAACAAAAAGGAGCAGGCAAGTTCAACTACTGAGTAAAGCAAGCAAGCTGAGATGCCTGAGTCTGAGGGTTCCTTTCTCATACAGTTCTTGAGAGGGGACAAGCTAGCAAAAGGCACAGCACGCCTCCAAACAGAGGCTTTTATGCTGTTTCTAGGTCCCTAGGTAGTAGGTACAGAAACTCATGGCCTTGATATACACAGTGGAGTTCTGGTACAGTGCGACCGGCCGGACATCTGAACCCCAGGCACCTCTGCACTTCTACCTGCGCTGCTACATTCCCTTTTCCCTGCTACCCGCCACCCCAGCCTGTCCCTCACCCCCTGATGCCCCTATTTCTATTTTCACTGACTGGCTCTCTTGTCTGTATTTGGGCCAGGCCAGCCTCTGGTTTCTTTACTATTCCTTCTATCCAGGACCAACTGCAGGTACTTCCTCAGCCTGGCAAAGGGGTTTTCAGCCCTAAAGCTTCCAAAGATACATTTTTTTTTAAGTACTCCTTTTTTTTTCATAATACACATATAGACATAAAAACACAAGATAAGCCATCACACACCATGAGTAACATCATAGGTCCAACACAACACAACACAACATCTTTACTTCTTGCTGTCAATTCCTTTATAAAAAGAAAGGCTCTGTGACAGTTCTGTTTGGGAACCTTTGATGCTGCTGCTCTTGCTACTGGTGTTGAGCCAGCTAAGTTACTTTACCTGTTGTCACGTAAAGTGGTGGACTGGGAGTGAGGCTGTAGGGGAGGAGGAGGCCTCACTGGGGCACACTGCCGTGTTGTGCAGAGGCCCCAGCACCAGGAAGGGCGCACCAGTGTCACCTACCCATATCACGAGTTTTGCCTGTCAGCAGCCAGGGGTGCAGAGCCCCAGAAGACAGACTCCCCTGGCGAGATACAGACACAGCTGTCAGGCTGTGTGGCCTGGCAGGGCCCAGCACCCAGGCCTGCACTAGATTCCCCCCCCCTGGCCCCCAAGACAGCCGCGGCCACCCAAGCACCCC